CCACCTGTCATCCCTACTGGACACATTGCTACCCCTTTCTGAGTCTCAGGTTCATGCTCTAGTTTGTCCATGGATGCAACAGTGTCATATCACTACATCTTCTAGGAGAGCAATCACACGCCCATCCAAATGTAGGATCCGCTGTTGACCCTGACTGCCCTGCAATATTCTGGGTGCTGATTGGATCCAGGAAGTGTGACCTGGCCATCTTTTAATGGGAAACAGGCAGGACACTGGGGGAGAAGGTGGACCAGCAAGGGGAGCTCAATAAGGGTCCACCCCTGGTTGTAGGGCTGACTGAGGAGCCTCTATCCTTTCTGAAACAAGTCCAACTCACCTGACTGTCTCTTTGGTTCTTCTCTTTTTAGTTCTGAGGGGATTCTTCTATAAGTTTTCAGATATTGTGCCCTTCAACTCTTGGAAACCCCTTGCACGAATGTTGGGCCTCACAGACAATGAGATTGAAATTATCGAAGCTGGAACAAATAAATCAGATCTTCTATATGAACTGCTGATGAAGTGGACCAAGAAAATGGGGCAGGGTGTCTCAATCAACACTTTGCTAAATGCCTTGGAGGAGCTGGGAGAAAGGTCTGCAAAGGACAGAATTGAAGAACTTCTGGTGAGGTCTGGACACTTTATCTATCAAGACGATGGGGCAGAACTTTCCTAGTTTACCATTTCTCCTAGAAAAAGAACGATGCATGGACCCTAGCCTGGGAGAAACACTCAGTTCTTAACCCACACTGGAACACACGTGGTGTGCTGTGATAAGTCCTTTGACTTTTTCAATCCATTTGGAGTAACTGTTATGAGCTACTGGATAGGATAAGCTCACTGTGATATCTTATTTAATGATATTCTTCTTCTTTTTTAAATTTTGCCAGAAGTCATGTCCCAGAAACATAGATGAAAAGAGAGGGACAGAGAAAGCACTTCTCTAGTTGGGGGGATGGTCACATCGCAATCCCTTTGCCTCTGTTTCTCTGTTAGGATTTGGGGCATGTGTAACTAATAGAAATTGTTGTATGTTTTACATTTAAAGTTCCATCCATACTGATATATGTGGATTTAATAATGTTCATTGCTTATTAACATAAGCCATGTACTTTATTATTTTTCATTTGCCAGAGGGTGAATGCCCTCACTAGAGAGAGAGACAGAGAGGAAAAGAAAGAAAGCACCAAATCTCGCCCCCCCACCACCCCGTGGGGCTTGGGCATGCAGCAACCCTGTCTCCTCTCTCTCTCCCTCCTTTCAGAAGTTCAGGGCCACATATGCACGTGCCTGGTGTGTTTCTCAAGATGCTGGGTCTGGCCCAGAAGCTGCACAGTTGACCATGTGGGATCCAGCTATCTTAACTACCAGGGCACAGGCTGGCCCTCTGTTACTTCAATGCATGATTGAATGAACATGGAGAAACTAAAAAAATATACCTACTGTGTTGTTCCCATGAATTACATGGCTGGGAATCAGCAATGAAAGAAATGACTAAGATTGTATATTTGTATATATATTTATATTTATGGAGGGGAGGAATAAATCCTGTTTCTTCACCAGTTGGGTTTCAGTTCTCCCTCATAAGTACTTTGGAGTTCACTTAGATGACTGGCAACTTTTAGAATGACCATTATTATAAGCTTTTAATTGTATACATGTACATTTATTTATTTATTTATAATTAGATGTTTACAAATGAACAGCCCTTTATCCTCCACCAGCCAGAGGGCAAAGCCCAGGCTGCTGGGGCCCAAAGGACCATTGCTGGGGTCTTCAGAGCTCCTTCCTCAGTGGCGGAAGCTGGAGACATTCCTGCCTTTTTCTGAGCCTCAGGTCCACGCTCTGGTTTGTCCATGGATGGGACAGTCTCATCAGGACCCCATCTTCTAACCTGTCCATAGCCAGGTGGGAAATAGGTTGGACCCGAGATGGCAAATGGATTCTACTGCAAATGTCATTTCAAATGAATGTGAGTGAGTCAGGAGCCCCAGGGGACTAAGGGTAGAGTAGGCATTTATCTGCTGCTGATGTCTGCCACGCCGTCAAGAAGGAAGAGTAGACGGTGCTCGCGAATGGTGTTAAATGTTTTCCAACGCAAGTCTCTCTCATGTCTGGTGTTCTGTGACACAGAGCTTCAGAGCTGCATTTGGGGTGCAGATGCCTTATTTGAAGATTCCCCGTGTTTTGGTCCCCTAAAGTATTAGCCTTATCAGTGTTCGTCCTGTTTATTCTTGAAAATAAGCTTCCTGTCACTGTGAAATTGTTAGTTTATTCTGTGTTACTTTCTACTAGGTCCAGATAGCCTGTAACCCACAATGGGCTGTCACGGAAGTATTGTGGTCGTGGCTGGGTACGCCTTCATGCTTCTGCCCAGAATGTCTTACAGAGCATGTTGTCAGTCTCAAACCGTGTGTTTATGTATAAAATGTTCATGTTGTAAAGTTGTGGCTGAAATAAATACAGAACTTATATTAAAGAGACAGTTGTGTATGTTTTTCCCAATCCTCCCAATTCTCCTGAAACCGGAGTGATGTGAGTCCAGGGATGTGTGTTCTGGCTGTGTGACTCCTCTTTCCC